AATTGAAAATGCACTTTTAACAATTAGTTAGAAATATGGGTACAAATCAGATTTTAAGTTAAGTGATTTAAAAGTATGGATTAATAGTTAATTAAGTAAAGAATTAGAATTTCTGTTGTCTTTAGTGAATGATCAGTAAACAACCTAGCTCCTTGAAACAGTTCAGTGTGATAGAAAATCTGTTTTAAAAAATCATGTCACGAAGGCTATTTAGAAAAAAAAAAGTGAAATTAGTATTTGAGACAAACATCTCTTTAGGATAACAGAGCAAAAGTTCTAAAAGCATGGTTGATAATAATACACCAAATTCTTTTATCCTCAGTTGATGACGCATGTAAGAGGTGTTGTCGCAAGACGCTGAACGACACCTGCTTCCCCGTCACACCCTTGGACATCCTTCCTGATGGCACTCCCTGTATTCATGGATTCTGCAATAAGGTAAGATGGAATGAGCGCTGACAGCAGTATTTGTCGTATAAAATGTAAATTTTTCAGTATGTATTTGATTTCTTTATACTGAGGAAACGAATTGGTTTGACTGTAGGTGACTTAGCTGTCAGTTCATAATCCTATATCCTATAAAGTTTGATATTTCATTATGGTTTTACAACTTCATTTTGTGTTTTGTTTTAGCATGTTGCATTCTAGAAGGATTTACAGTACTTTCCACAGATTTATTTTTTAAAAATTGTGAAAAGGAAAATTTGACAAATTTCAACTGTTGATTATTAAAGCATCGTAAAGAAAAATATTGTATTTTGTTAATAGCACTTCATATTTACAGGGAAAATGTGAAAAGACAGTGCAAGATGTTGTAGAACGTTTCTGGGACATCATAGAAGATATTAACATTAACACTGTACTGATGTTCTTGCGGGACAACATTGTAGGGACAGTCATCATCATCTCTGTCATCATCTGGGTCCCGGCATCATGCATTTTCAGTTACGTTGACCGCCGTCGACAAGAAGATTACCGCAAGTATGTTCGTTGGTATTACAGCAATGAGCTTATTCACCCAACTGACAGTGTTCGCATTATTGATAGCAAACGCACGCGAATACATGAGCCTGGCCGTGTCCAGGAAGCTACTAACCGTGTGCTAGAGTCTGGTGGGCGTCCGCATGACCCGGGGACTCGAGCACATGACACACGAGATCCTCCTGAAGGTGCAGAAAGCCGCCAGACTCTTAATACCCCTCAGTGCCCCCCTGTGTCACAGCACTACACTAGTGCCATGTAGTTGTGTGACTGCAGATTTCATTCAGAGAAATGGTGATATTATTTTCTAAGAAAAGAGAATGCTTTAGGAAAGAATGAGGTCTATTTCATATAACTACCAGCTTATCCCTTCAACAGTTTCTGGAGCAATCTGTGTCACTCAGTTATTTTATTAATAATGACAAACAACTAACCAAAGCTATTGGTATAGATGGCATTCAGAATCCAGATGTCTAAGATTTAATGCATATGATTAAGCATTTACCTGCAAAGGCATATGAATATCAGTGAAAGGGTCATCACCACCATTGGTGTTAGAGTAGTTGATGATTGTGTAGATGATTAGTAAAAAGTCACTGTAATGAATCTCATAATGACCTTGGATGGGGAGTGTAATGAATCATGCCACTGGAAATGTTTGTCAAGGTCTGTAGTTTTTTATTTCTTTTTTTTATTTGTAGTGATCCCAGACACCAAAGAAATTAAGATGCTTCCTACAAATTGATCTCACAGTACTTACCAAAGAAAATTTATTTTAGAAATTAGCAGCTCCATGCAACAGTTGCAAACAAATTTATGTACAAATATATTAGGAGCTAAAAGGCAGAAGATACACTCTACTATTACTTTAAGTAGAAGAACAATCTTGCTGCAGCTTCATTTAACCAATATGTGGTTTAAACATAAACAGTAGCATACATCAAAGACATTCCATTACAATATACCTGCAGTAATTACATTCCCTTTCTCTGGGTACTGAATTGTTATAGACATTATGTCTGTGAGCTATGTGGTTGTGAATTATTTATTTTTATTGTTTTAACTATTGATCTGTAACTTGAAAATTTCTGAATGTGAATTATAAGGTGTGGTACTGATGCCTACTTCATTTTGTGTCCAGTTTTGTTGCTTTTTATTTATTGTCTTGTGAGGAGCTTGACCTATTTTCTATAGCATTCAGAGATGGTAAGGTAAGCTTTTGTCTGTTATTAACATTCCATGTATTCTACATACATAAAGCAGAGGTAGTTATGTAATTTATAGGATTTAAGTTTCATCAGAAAGTGTGGTATAATTTTAAGATTGCATTTGATGCTTCTTGATTGTTGGAATATTTTTCTTGTGTTTTCGAAAGGTCAAAGTAACAAGTGGTATTCTTTGCTTGATACAGTAACAGTATGAAAGAATCAACCTTCTAAATTTCTTTTCTTTTTATGAATTCTACTAAAGACCAAAAGATTCTTTGCATATAATGTTCAGTAAAGAATGCAGGTAGTTTCTGCTTTTTAGCCAATTAGCTCTTATTGGTTGAAGGTGGCTGGAAGAGTAAGGTCATGCCTCATAGATTCTTGTTGTACCTTTGCTTAAATCCTTTTAATTGTGAGTAGTCATGTGCTTTAACATTTAGTTTTGAGTTTCTTTCTTTCAGATTTATGTTGCCATTATTCTCTTGCTCTAACTTTTCTCAATTACTTTATTATATATTTATTTGATAAAGAAATTACCTTTTTATGCTTTTTCACCTTTTTTTCTTATATATTCTGTAGATTAGTACATTTCTGTATGTTAGTTCTGAACCCTGTGAAAGTCAGGTCCATCTGTTGTTACAAGTTGATCAGAAATCCAGTTACTGTATGAGCATAATGTTGGACATGAAAAGATTCATTTATCTATGAAAAACAACAACATATTGAAGGAAATGTGATATTCACTTTTTTTGTTTTTTACTATCTAACATATAGGGATAACCCATTTTACTTTAGCAATGGGCCTAGTGATATGAAGTACCTGAAGTTATAAAGCCTGTCTTATCCCACTTTCCTATATATTTATATCAGTTTTTGTACTGAAAATTACTTTGTTTGATATCTTCTTTTTTTAAATTGGCAAACATTTTTGGTATGTTGCGATGGTAATTGCATGGACCTAAACAGCTAAAGGGTTAAGCAAGCTGATTCAAAGTTTCCTTAATTTAACACTCGCTTTATGTGACCCATAGGATCATCGCATCTCCAGCTGTATTGGCGGGAAGATACATGCATGTTCATAAGACAGAGAGTGTTGATATGTAACATTATGCAGGTGATGAGAAATTTTGAAAATGTCACTTATTTAGATTCTGTAGAGTTATCAATTTGCGTGATAGGGAAAGTGAAGCTCATAATGCATGGACCTATTGGAATTCATTATTCAATTTGTCTAAATGCTTTATGTTTGCTTACATTTTTTTCTTTTGTGATAAATTTCATTTTGCAGCAGTAAGAAACCAGGTAGGAATCATATAACCCTATTGCATGGACCTGACTGAGTAAGAGTGATGGTTTTCATAGTGCATGACTCTTGTATTTCATTCAATTGTTTTTGTAATATTTACATTTTTTCATATCAATCTTGCTGTTATTTGCCATCTTCTGTCTTCAGGCAATGTGAAGAATACAGAGCTTTTGTTGAGCGCTGGAAGAGAAGGACTGCTGCTCATGGTTTCCCTAAACCTAAAGTAGCCACCACCTCCTTTATGGATGTAGTTGATGATGCAACCAAAAGTCTTCTTACTAGACCTACTGAGTAGCTGTAGCTCCACACCTCATTATCAGAGCACCTGTATTTGCCTTTGATGCTGTGATTTGTTTTTTTTTACAATTCTTGCATGAATGATTGTATATTTATAATTTATGGACTTTGTTTCTATGTTATTTCCAAAATGCATGTCTCACAAAGGGGTAAAGAGTATGCACATGTTTGCTCATGTAGTTCCACACGAAGTCTTGATGTGCAAACACATTTAATGCATAATACTCCCCAGCTCCAGCCTTTGCCCTTTCCATGTTTAATGAGTTTCTATTCCATATATTCTCTTTTGAACAGCAGAGCTTGTAACATATCTGAGAAGGTTTGTTTCTATAACTATAGTCTGTTCCATTACCTCTGGCTGGAAGTTGTGGAGGGTTCAGAAATTGTTTTTTGGAAGTTGTTTTATTGGTTTGTTGCATTTAAGGCTGTGGCAACGGGGCCCGATTTATTTATGATATAATATTACATAACAGAGTAGACTGTGGCTAGGCCTAAGGTATGTACAGTAGGGTCAACCCGCTCTGAGTCATGACGTAGTTAAACCCCACAGGTTGTGTTATGAAAATTGCAATATTTTCAAAAGTTATTGTCTGAAACTAACTATTTTGTGCTATACTTTATGGAACAGACCATAGTAAATCTTTAACAGGACACAAAAAAGTGCAGATAGTGATGGAGCAAATGTAAAGTAAACTGAAACAACTTTTGTTTTTAGTCATTGACTAGTCAGGAATTTATACAATATTGTTAGGCTTTGTTGCATGCAATACTGTGTCTTTCAGATCGTAAGTATTTTTTTACATATATTATGTCACAAGAACTGACATGTGTTTCTGTCGCCTCTTGGGAATGCCTTTTTGAGGCAGTGGCTTTTCAGATTTTCAGATTTCTTCTCTAAAGTGTCATTTGTGCATTTCAAGTATTTTGTAAATTTGGGCACTTCACTGAGAAAAGTTCAGCAAGCCTTGAAGAGCTATATCATTTTAAAGAATAAAAGTGAAAGTAGGGTCAACATATATAAAGTCTGCAGTACTGTATATGCATATATATCCACACACCACACACAACACACGCACATGCACACGCCACACGCACACACACGCACGCAACACACACACATATATTACTCACATACATACACACATACATACACACATACATACACACATATATATACTCACATACATACACACACATATACATGTGTA